TCGAGTTTGCTTCCATTTGACGATTTGAACGAGATTGCGAATCAAACTTCAGCGTGTAGTAGAAGTTCGGTAGAAGAGTTTGATCACCCGAGCTTGAATATCAAGGCCAAATGCAAAGAATCTGATTCTCAAAAAGTTCAAGAGCCAAAAAATCCCAAGCTCTCCAAAAGCCCAGATCCCAAAAGCCAAGCTCTCCTTCTCTGTAGCCGAATATGGCTATTTATTGAGAAGGATGGTTGTAACCAACCCCTTAGATCGTAGGAAGTGGGCGTAACCACCTCCACAATTCAAGTAAGTGGTTTTTTAACCGCTCAGGCGAGCTCGTAGGCGAGCTTGCAGGCGAACTTGCAGGCGAGCTAGGCGAACATACAAGGTTGACAGGTGAACCTCTTAAGCGTTCAGGCGAGCTTAAACCCTATTGGCGAGCTTGGATCATGCGGACGAACCTCCTGCGGGCGAGCTTGACTCGTGCGGGCGAGCAAAGCATTCAGGCGATGTTGGAGTATAGGGGTGAACCTTGTAGGCGAAGCTATCATGCGAGCTGCAGTCAATTCAGGCGAGCTTCAAGCATTCAAGCGAGCTTGGCTCATGCAGGCGAGGTTGGAGTATGCGGGCGGACCTCGTAGGCGAAGTTATCAGGCAAGCTTTAATCAATTCAGGCGAGCTCGGCTCGTGCAGGCGAGCTCCGTAAGTTAGGCGTTCATGCGAAGCTCGATGTTTAGGCGAACTTGGCCTTGTACGTAGAGTCAAGTATTCAGGCGAACTTGGCTTTGCTTATTTGATTCAGGCGAAGTCACACTATCAGCCGGACTTGCCTTGAATGTTCAGGCGAACAAGTAGACTTGGCTTGGTTCAGGCAAACCCTAATCTTGCAAGCGAAGTTCAGGCGTCGAGGAACATAACTTGCCGCAAAGAACGAGTCATAACTTTCAAACCGTAAGTCGGAATTAGACGAATTATATATGAAAACCGACTATCTCGACGAGACGAGGCCGACCAAAATGACCGAAGTTCGGTTTGCAGCTGTCCGTTTCGCCAAATTCCCTCCGGTTTGAGAGATATCAGTGTTTTTGTTAGTTTTTTACTATTTTTGGTAATGTTCTTGCAGGCGAACTTCTGAATTTCTCTGTTAGGGATAAAGTCAAATTTTATTTGCCTACAGTACTGAACCATTCTATGCTTGAAACCGAACAAATCGATTGTAATTAGCGTGGTTGGTTCGGTTTGGAATATTTGATTTGGACTTTTAGTAGTTTAGTTGAGAAAAGTCTATTTTGGCCCAAAAGAAAGATGCATATGAAAAAAACCAGTGAAAGAAATATGTGGATTAATAGATCGATAAAGACCAATAAAAATAAAATTGAAATGATAAATAATTTAAAGAAAAAAGAGAAATTTGTGGATTACCAAAAAGAAATAATATACTTTAGACAATTGAGAGCTATTAGTTCATTTTGTTTGGGTTGAAATTTTCTGAAACCGAACCGAACTGGCAAAATTTAGTTGGTTCGGTTGGTTTAATTAGTCTAAACAGACTAATTTGAGAAGATGGAGGCCAAGGCCTTTTTGGGGTAGAGGAGTGAGCAGTAGGGATGGGAGGATTAGTTCGGAAGAGGGATCGTCCAACATGGGTTAACAGAGGATGATAAAAAAACCAGTGAAAGAAATATGTGGATTAATAGATCGATAAAGACCAATAAAAATAAAATTGAAATGATAAATAATTTAAAGAAAAAAGAGAAATTTGTGGATTACCAAAAAGAAATAATATACTTTAGACAATTGAGAGCTATTAGTTCATTTTGTTTGGGTTAAAATTTTCTGAAACCGAACCGAACTGGCAAAATTTAGTTGGTTCGGTTGGTTTAATTAGTCTAAACGGACTAATTTGAGAAGATGGAGGCCAAGGCCTTTTTGGGGTAGAGGAGTGAGCAGTAGGGATGAGAGGATTAGTTCGGAAGAGGGATCGTCCAACATGAGTTAACAGAGGATGTTGAAATAGTTTGTTGGATGTAAATGAGGAAAATGTTTGATGAGTTGACTGATATGAAGATAGAAAGTGTAGATACGTATGCTATTGGGTGTATCCTATACCTAGGACTAAGAAGATGGCCAGTTTAGTCGGTTTTACAAATTTTGACAAACCATACCGGATTATGTTTGAAACCGAACCAAACTGATTGATGTGGTCGGTTCGCTTTGGTTCGGTCTATTTGACTTGAATTTGTAGTGGTTTAGTTAAGAAAAGTCTATTTTGGCCCAAACGAAAGATACATATAAAAACAAATCAGTGAAAGACATGCAGATTAATAGATTGATAAAAGGAACAATAAAAATAAAATTAAAATCATAAACAATTTAATGAGAAGAGAAATTTGTGGATTACCGACAAAAAATAATATATGCTTTAGGCAATTGAGAGTGCGATCAGTTTATTTTGTTTGGGGTGAAATTTTCTGAAATGGAACCGAACTGATAAAATTCAGTTGGTTCGGTGGTTTTAATCTGTTTAAACTGATTAATATTCACCCCTACCTATACTTGAAAGAGTGGGAAGGGTAGGGGAGAGACCAAGGGCAGGATGATTGAGGAGCTTGCAATAGTTTTTCGGAGAGGAGAATACAAAAGATTACGTCGAAATGAGGACAACATTATGTTGAAATGGAGACAAAGATAGAGGGGGCATCGAGCATAAAAGGAAGAGGGAAGAGGATTAGTTTTATTGGACAATAATTTTAAAAAGAGTTTACAATGTTTGGGAGAGAGGATAACACTAAGAATTGGGAAATGTTAGCTGAGTTGACTGAAAGGAAGATGGTGTAGATACATACCCCTATTGGGTGTGTCCTATACCTAGTACTTAGTAGAGGCTTGGTTCAGCCGGTGTTACAAAATTTGACAAATCGTACCGAACCATTCTATGTTTGAAACCGAACCAAAGCGATTGAAATTAGCTTGGTTGGTATTGGGTGTATGATGTGTATCCTATACCTAGTACTTAGTAGAGGCTTGGTTCAGCCGGATTTACAAAATTTGACAAATCGTACCGAACCATTCTATGTTTGAAACCGAACCAAAGCGATTGAAATTAGCTTGGTCGGTTCGGTTCGATCTATTTGATTTGGAGGTAAGAATTGGGAAATGTTTGTTGAGTTGGCTGAAATGAAGATAGAAAGTGTAGATACATATGCTATTGGGTGTATCCTATACCCAGTACTTAGCAGACGGTTGGTTCAGTCCGTTTTACAAAATTTGGCAAATCGTACCGAACCATTCTATGTTTGAAACCGAACAAACTGATTGAAATTAGTGTGGTCGGTTCGGTTCAGTTCAGTATATTTGATTTGGACTTTTAGTAGTTTAGTTGAGAAAAATCTATTTTGACCCAAAAGAAAGATGCATATTAAAAAAACCAGTGAAAGAAATATGTGGATTAATAGATTGATAAAGAACAATAAAAATAAAATTGAAATGATAAATAATTTAAAGAAAAAAATAGAAAGTTGTGGATTACCCAAAAGAAATAATATACTTTAGACATTTGAGAGCTATTAGTTCATTTTTTTTGGGTTAATTTTTTTTAAACCGAACCAAACTATCAAATTTTAGTTGGTTCGGTTGGTTTAATCAGTTTAAAAACCGATTAGTCTGAGAAGATTGAACCTATACCTTTTTGGGTAGAGAGGTGTGAGCAGTTCGGAACATGGATGATCCAAGATAGATTAACGGATGATGTTGAAATAGTTTGTTGGAGGTAAGAATAGGGACAACATTTGCTGAGTTGACTGAGATGAATATAGAAAGTGTAGATTTATATGCTATTGAGTGTATCCTATACCTAGCGCTTAGCAAACGGTTGTTTTAATCGGTTTTACAAATTTTGACAAACCATACCGAACCATTCTATGTTTAAAACCAAACCAAAGCAATTGAAATTAGTGTTGTCGGTTCGGTTCGGTCTATTTGATTTGGACTTTTAGTAGTTTAGTTGAGAAAAGTCTATTTTGGCCCAAAAGAAATATACATATAAAAAAAATCAATGAAGGAAATATGCGGATTAATAGATTGATAAAGAATGATAAAAATAGGATTGAAATTATAAACAATTTAATAAAAAAAAGAGAATCCTGTGGATAACTGAAAAGAAATAATATACTTTAGACAATTGAGAGCTATTAGTTTATTTTGTTTGGCTTGAATTTTTTTGAAACTGAACCGAACTGGCAAATTTTAGTTGGTTCGGCTGGTTTAATTAGTCTAAACGAATTAACTCTGCATCTTAATACTGGTTGCCTGATTCCTAAAATAATATTGGGAAAGTTAAAGCGTGGGGTTTAATTTGCGAGTTGAATTGCATGTCCTTACATATCGATCACCTTTTATTTTTGGGTACGAAAGCACTATGGTAGGTGTAGGAGTTAGTCTCTGGACCTATTTTAGATTTTATATAAACTAAGAAGAGCTTAATAATGTTACTAGTCATTTTATCCTCATTAAGTTCCTTTGCCTCAGTTGCATTATAAAAGCAAAAAATTGTTTGGTAAAAATAATACCAAACCCGCCCTAAATACGAGCGACTCAATCGAAACGCACCCGCTTCCGTCACGTAATTCAGGATCCTATCTGAAAACAGACCCGCTTCTTCGCCGCAAAAGAGCGAACAACGCAAGGCTCTCCACTTTAATCCTTTCTTCCTCTAAAAACTCGAAGATAGCGACAATACCTGACCCGGTCCCGGTTGCTGACCTGGACCCAAGACTCCAACCTCACGTGTTTAATTTCTGGTTCGGTCCTTCGTTAGTCTACACGCTTGATGTCTGGTTTTCATTCGCAACGCTAAGTTTGTATTCCGTTTATCTGCGCGCAGGTGCACCGCTGAGTGGCCCGCTGGTGGTGGCTGACGCCCTCGACAAGAGCAAGTCCGATTCCGCCTCGTCATCGAAACACAAAGATAAGAAGAAGAAGAAGAAGGAGGAGGAGGAGGAGGATGAATCCTTGAAGAAGAAGAAGAAGAGGAAGGAGGAGGACGAGTACGTTCTCAAGCGAAGAAGAGACGAGCGCTCTCTCTCATCCCTTCCCGACGCCTACTTCCCCGAGAACAAGCTGCAACGAAGCACTCCCTCCGATTATGTCCATCAGAAGAGAGAATCCGCGGTTACAGAATCGCGACCAGCGCCACCACCCATGCCGATGCCAGCATTGGAGACCAGTGCGGGCGAGAAACAGCATCCGCCGATGCTGTAATTAAGAACACGGTCAAGAAGATCAAGAAACGCCCTCCGGAGGACGCGAACGACCAAGAGGAGACGAACAAGTTGAAGAAGAAGAAAAAGAAGCAACATGGAGACGGTTTCAGGAGGGATTCTGCGCCGGTGTTCAACAATCCAACACCGGCAGAAGCTAATCCTGTTGCTTCTCCTCGTCCGCTGTCTCCGCCTGATGTGGACTTGGGTCCCTTGGATCATGTCGAGCTGCGCAATGTCGTGGCTGACCTCCGTTCACTTGCCCTCGATCCTTTCTATGGTGTTGAAAGCAAAGTCCCGGAGATTCTTCACCATGTCCTGGTCAGATTCCGATCACTTGCTTACTTGAAAAGCAGCGTTCTTCCTGCATCCGCTGAGGGTGATGCTCAAGGTAGTCGAGAGGCGACAGAGAAGAGAAAGCAGAGAGATGAGAGCTCATCATCATCTTCGAAGCCTGTCCAACTCCTGAAGAGGCCTGAAGACCCTACAAAAGCTGGTATAAAGCGCGCTCCGTCAGAACGACAGGAAGAGATGTCGGCCAAACGGATGAAGAAGGTGAGCAACCTGAAATCGCTTGCTAGCGAGAAGAAGAAGGCACCCGCAGCAATTTCTCAGAAAGCATCCAACAACAATGGAACAGCTTCATCAAGCACAGAGTCAGGCAGGAAGCCGGAGAGGCAAGAACGACCGCTACCGCCCCCCCCCCCCGCCGCTGCTGCCGCCTCCTCCTCTGAGGAGGGAGAGTCCTACGTTTCTGGCAATGAAATTCCCGCTGGGGTCGAAGTTGCCATCAGTGGCGAATCTCAAAGCTCGGTTCGCTCGGTTTGGACCTCTCGAAGTCGAGAATACCCGTGTGTTCTGGAAATCTCATTCATGCCGAGTTCAGTTCAAGTACAAGTCAGATGCCATCAGAGCTCTAAACTTAGTTAAGGGCGATGATGTCTTCGGACAGATTCAGGTGGAGTACAGTGTGAGGGAGGTCGAGGCTCCAGCTCCAGAGCCAGTGGTGCCACACCCCCCGCATACTGAAGAAGCCCGCCGACGAGGCTGGAAAGGAGAGACAGAGAGTGAAGTTCATGTTATCGGGCAATGATAATGGCGACGGTAAAAACACCAAGAAGGTAAGTGTTAGTTTCACTGACGTAGCACGGCCGCCACGCCCACCATCCCCGCCTCCTCAGTCTCGTCGAACCTCAGCGCAACCTTCGCCCCCGGCTCGAACCAACGAACCCTTTAAAACCGCAGCGCGACCTTCACTTCCTCCACCCCCAGCCCGATCCTATGAACCGTATCACCTCCCACCTCTGCCTCCCGTGCATCGCCCTGGGGAGAAGAGGGTTCCGCCTGTGCCCGTGCAGCTCAACGAGGCTCCTCCGAAGAAACAACATGAGGAGATGGATATCTCGCACCGCATGCTGAGCCTGCTGATCCGATGCAATGACATCGTTAGCAGGCTCAGGTCGTTGCCCGGATTCGTGCCCTATTGTCCTCTCTGAGGTCAGTGGCGGCGGATCGGATCGCTGGAGAAGTCGCCGGGTTTGCAGTGTGTTGTGTTCGTGAGAACTTGGATTTGAATCTTGTTATCTCCTCTGCTTGTTGTTCTTCGTTAATGCTTTCACCAAAAACTCAGATTTAGCTTTCCGCGTCGGACCCTTTTAAGCGCTCTAAATTGGGCTGTGTTTTTTAGGGGAATTTGGCCCAGTAATTAGGACAACTAAAACATGACGGGTTGAAGTTATAATGGATTATATGGTTTATTGAACTGTGTTTTGCCTATTAAAATTTGTGTTTTTATTCTTCTTGTTTGGTTAATTGCCTATAGAATTATTGCACTGTGGATGCGCCACTTGTTACCCCTTTCCTCTGATATCGATCGATCGATCGGGCTCTCCGAAGCCGACTAACGTCACTGTTGCCCTTCACGCCTCCTCTCCGGTGATGCGCTGTTTCGGGTAAGGTTCGAATGGTCTGTTTTGCAAAATCAACTTTTTTTTTGGTCTGTTGGCTAAAAAGAGGTTTGTTTTGCTAAATATTTAGCAAAACACTTTATTTTACTAAATATTTAGCAAAATAGATCTATTTTGCAAATTTCTTCCGGTCTTTGAGGTACGCTTGATATTTGCTCTTTTCTTGCAAATCCTCCGCCTACGTGATCGTGGCTGGGCTTAGGTTGTCGCAAATTGAGGGAGCTGGTTAATGTTTAGCATACTGTTCACGGGTTTTAGCTTTTCACGAGCTCATGTGCGGCACTTTGCAATCTTCTCGCTAATAACTAACTCATTAAGTTCAGCTTCTCTATCATGACTTGCACAAAAGCAATCTAATTAGCTAAATAAGAGAGCAAGGCAAAAGAGGGTTGTACAGAGCACTAATATTACATTTAAGAGAGCGTGCAAACTTTGGGAGGGATGGTTCGGCAGGAGAGGGTCATCCGTCCTCTCCTATTTATAAGCCTCCACCCTCCGTAACAAGAATTCTCTGAAAAACTTCGTACATCATCCAATCCATACATTCATACTTTCTTAGGACAAATTTTGAAAACAGACCCCTTTGCAAAAATATTCTCAAAAAAAGATCAGTTTTCACTTTATTTTCAAAAAACGACTTAGTTTCAACCTCAGGGCTGAAACTGGGTCGGTTTTTGGGGAAAAAGTTCTCAAACTTCACGGGAGTTGAACTCCCGTGAAGTTTTGTTATGTAAAAAACTTCACGGGAATTCAACTCCCGTGAAGTTTGAGAATTTTTTTCACAAAAAACGACCCAGTTTCAGCCTCAGGTCTGAAACTAGGTTGTTTTTTGCGAATATTTGAAAACGGGTTTTTTTGAAATATTTTTACAAAAGGGTCTGTTTTCAAGATTTGCCCTACTTTCTTAGTGTGTTCCATCACACCCTGCTATATTCTACTACGTTTTAGACGACTCTATACATTACAGAATATTCTAGAACCTTCTACGAATTCTAGGTTCTTTTAGAACACTACAAATTTACGTAGAAAATTATAAGATTATGTTTTTGTCATGCTTATTTGGCAAAATATTTATCTATAAGGCGGGATGTATAGGTATGGCAAAGTCGTGACTGCCCTAGATAATTTGTGCATGCTTCAAATAGGACGATCTATACCATTTGTCAGAATATCATTTACCATTTACGGAAGGGGCAGAGAGAGTCCATTTCAAAATTTTCTGTTTATGGTTCAAGCCATCATCATCCCCTGTTGGAATTAATAAATGATTAAGTTTCTTCCTTAATGCAAATATGACCTTTTGAGGGGTGTATTTGCATAATATTTATTTCTTTCATTGTCTTCTTCTTTATGTTTCGTTTCTCCTAATTAATACCTGATTCCTTCACTCTCTCCTCTTTCCTCCGAACGGAACTTCCCCGTATGGCGGCAACGTCGGCGTCCTCTCTGGCCTCATCAACGAGTGTAACTTCCTCCTCCTTGATGGCAGCGATTATCTCAGCGAGACAATCAAGATAGCTACAAAAGGGGATCTCGATGAAGGATGAAAACCATAAGGAAAGTGAGCAATCTTCTCTCTCTCTCTCTCTCTCTCTCTCTCTCTCTCTCTCTCATAATTCTCTACAATTTGATTTCTAGTTTTAATTTTTGGGCAAACATCCATTGAGCAAGAGACCAAAGTTCGTAGTAAAGTTTGGTGCCGGCTTTCTCGGGGGGTTCTTACCACTAGGCATGGTCGCATTGAATCGCCTCTGCGAAGGTGACGACTATTGGTTTAGGACAGTGATTGCACGATTACCCCTTTCTCAGGCCTACCTTTCCAACCCGTTTTTGAATACTTTCTGATTATTTGCAGTGATTTTCTAACATCCCCACTCTTATAAGGGAGCCTTTGATTACATTTGTATTCACCAATGACAGACATCTTGTTTACGTTCCTTCTCTCTATCACACATTTTCTCTTGTAAACTGTGAACGATTAGAGGGAAACACGTCTTCACGTGGGAAGAAGTTTGTTCACGTGGCCTCGGGCCCACCCGAAACAAAGATGGAGATGTGAAGCGGTTTTTTTTATATTCCCTGGACCCGACTTCCGCAGCGCAGCTTATAAATAGCAAAGTTTAATTGCTAGGTTTTGTGTGCCAGTCAGGAGGTTGATTTGTTTGCTTTTGTGGCTGCGGCAGGAAATTGCAGCAAGGCAAAGGAACTTGGTTTTTGTGTGGCTGCGGAACAGAAGCAAGAGCACGGAACAGAAGCAAGAGCACTGAGTTTTGTGGCGGCTGTAGGAGTGCAAAGATAGAGGAAAAGTTGGGTTTTTGCATCCTTTTGTAGAGAGATATTGTGAGGGATCTGAGAGTTTGTTTGAGGGTTTAGGTTGTGAGTGATTGTAAACCCTAGTTGTATTCTCTCCCTCTAATAGTAGATCCCCCCCCTCCTTACCCCGTGGATGTAGGCAATTTGCCGAACCACGTAAAAATTGGTTGTACTGCTATTTGTGTGATTAATTTGTAATAGCTTTTAGGATCCCTCGACAGGTCAGTCCTAGAACTGATGAGAGAAAGAGCCAATATCTCACTTTGTTGAGATATTCGCTTCAGATTCTTGATTCCTTGGTGAGACGGGAATTCTTATTGTGATCTGACTCTCTTGTTGTGCTGTCGAAATGCTGCCGAAATTTGCGCTGCGCGCAACAAGTGGTATCAGAGCCCAGATTTCAGATCTAGGGTGTTTTGGATTTGGTGGAGGAAGATTTTGTGTGAAGCTTGGTTCTTGGAGTTCTAGGCTTCGGTGGAGATAGCATTAGGAGTTGCCATTGGAGATTTCGCTTTTCTCGTATGGATAGGAGATCTATTTGGAATCCGATCTTGGATTCAGTTTGGTGGTTCCTAATTTTTTATCAAACTTGTTCTTTCTCTACAATTTAGAGTTAGTTTGCAATGGGAGAAGAAGGTAAAAGCAGCAAATCGATGGCGAGTACAACACAAGTTGGTTTTCAGAACACTAAGATTAGTGTGGTGAAATATGACGGCAAAATCAACTTTGGTTTATGGATGAGCGACGTACAGGATGCGCTCAATTTTTAGAATTTGGAAGAGACCATCATGGTCCATGAGAGACCATCTAAATATGATGAGGCGATATGGGAGAAGATGAATAGGAACGCATGTGGGGTGATCAGGTCCTGTTTGGAACAGAAACTGAAATATGATGTGATTGGGGTGATGTCTGTAATGAAGATGTGGGAAATTCTCAACAATAAGTATCTCACAAAGAGTGTTGAGAACAAGTTGCACTTGCTGCGAAAACTCTTCAGATTTTAGATGTCCAGAGGCACGCACCTCGCTAGCGGCTCATGTGAACAACTATACTAAGTTGTTGTCGGACTTGGAGAATGTTGATGAGAAGATATCGGATGAGTACAAGGCGATTATTTTATTGGGCTCCTTACCGGATGAGGAGTATGATACCTTCGTGCTCACTTTGTTGAATGGGAGATCTTCTATCAGCTATAGTGAAGTGACTAACGCTTTGACCAATTACAATTTGAGGAGGAATGACAAGGAGACTTCCCGTGCTAGCATTTCAGGCGAGACCTTGTCGACGAGAGGTAGAAGCTCATATCCGAAAGGTGGTAATAGAGGAAGGTCAAAATCAAGAAGCTGCCACCAATTAGTAAAGAACCAATGTGCATTCTGCAAGGAGCAGGGACATTGGAAGAGAGACTTCCCGAAGCTCAAGGAGAAAGAGAATGGCAAGAAAAAGGGCCCGAAGGCCAATGATGTGAATATTGCGAAAGGCGATGATTCCGATGATTCATGCTTTTCTCTACTGATTACTCCGGAGGTGAACCACGTGGATGCATCAGATTGGATACTTGATTCCGGCGCTACTTTTCATGTGACCCCTAGGCGAGACTGGTTTGCATCTTTTGAGAAAGTCGACGGGGGCGTTGTTGTCATGGGAAATGATCAATCCTGTGGCGTTTGTGGGATAGGTACTGTGCGGATTAGGATACACGATGGAGTAGTCCGTGAGTTGAAGGAGGTGAGATTTGTTCCTCAACTGAAGAAAAATCTTATCTCAGTTGGAGCTTTGGAGGCGAAGGGATTCAATGTGACTTTTGAAAACGCTGTAGCGAAGGTTACTAAGGGATCATTGGTGGTGATGAAGGGAGTCCGCAATCGGAATTTGTATTATCTGAAGGGAAGCACCGAGATTGGCCAGGTTGCTTTGGCTATTTCAGAAGCGGACATAAGCAGACTTTGGCACTAAAGATTGGGGCACACAGGTGAAAAGTCACTGCAGGCATTATGCAAGCATGGGCTATTGAAGAGAGCCAAGAGTGGGAAGATTGAGTTCTGTGAGCACTGTGTTCTTGGCAAGAAGACGAAGGTAAAGTTCGGGACTGCTATTCATCAGACGAGGGGCATCCTGGACTACGTGCACACAGACGTTTGAGGTCCTATCAAGACTGCATCACTTGGTGGTAGACATTGGTTCGTCACTTTTGTAGATGACTATTCTAGGCGTTGTTGGGTGTACATCATGACGAAGAAGAGTGAAGTCCTAGATTTGTTTGTGGAGTGGAAAAAGAGATTGGAACTGCAGACTGGGAGAAAGATCAAGACGTTGCGATCCGACAACGGCGACGAGTACACATCAGACCCCTTTCTACAGCTATGTCGAGACGAGGGCATAGAGAGGCACTTCACGGTTAGTCATACACCACAGCAGAATGGGGTGGCAGAGAGATTAAATCGGTCTTTACTAGAGAAGATCCGATGCTTATTGTCGCAGAGTGGTTTAAAAAAGATCTTTTGGGCTGAGGCACTTACATATGCGAGCCACCTCATTAATAGGCTGCCTTCATCTGTGATTGAGGGGAAAACCCCTATGGAGATGTGGTCGGGAAAGCCAGAAAATGATTATGACCAGCTCAAGGTATTTGGGTGCCCTGCAAATTATCATGTTAGAACTGATAAATTGGAGCATCGAGCTAGGAAGGCCATATTTGTAGGATTCAAGCGTGGTGTCAAGGGATACAAGCTTTGGGATCCAGTGGATAAGAAGATTGTGCTGAGTAGAGACGTCACATTCGATGAGACTTCCATCTTGAAGCTTCCCAGCTCTCATCAGGTAGAGAGCGACCCGACAGAGGAGATATCGTAGGTGGTGGAGATCGATGCAGCTCCACATTGTCCAGATGGTACAGTATCCATGCAGGTGCCGACTGAGATGACGCCAGGCGAGCACGACGGTGACACGGAGGATACGAGTATAAATGTGCAGGATCAGGAACCGGCGGCTCAGGTTCAGGATTCTATTACAGTTCGGAGACAGAGGAGAAACATACAGATGCCAGCACGGTATGCCGACACAGTTGCGTATGTACTTCCGGTAGAGAGTATCGATGAGTTGGTGCCTACTACATTCAGAGAGGCCGAGCAGAGTTCGGAGGCTGATTCGTGGCAGGTGGCTATGCAGGAGGAGATGGAATCTCTTCATAAGAACGATACATGGGAGCTTGTTGAGCTTCTAAAGGGGCGGAAGGCAATTGGTTGCAAGTGGGTATACACGAAGAATGAGGGCATTGAGGGCACTCCATTGAGGTTCAAAGCTAGGTTGGTTGCGAATGGCTATGCACAGGAGGAAGGTATTGACTATAATGAGGTTTTCTCTCCGGTGGTGAAGCACTCTTCGATTCGGATTCTGCTAGCTTTGGTGGCACAGTATGGTTTGAAGTTAGATCAGTTGGATGTGAAGACGGCATTTCTTCATAGTGATCTTGATGAAGAAATATATATGACTCAACCATTGGGATTCCGAGCTGCAAGGAAAGATAAGTTGGTTTGCAGATTGAAGAAATCGCTATACGGTTTGAAACAGTCTCCTCGACAGTGGTATAGGCGATTTGATGGTTATATGCTTGGTCATTCGTACACTCAGAGCCAGTTTGATCCTTGCATATATTTTCGCAAGTTGAAAGGAGGTGCGTACATTTATTTGTTGTTCTATGTCGACGATATGTTGGTTGCCTCTATTTCCAGATCGGCTATAGATGAATTGAAAGTTCAGCTATCAAATGAGTTTGAGATGAAAGACTTGGGTGAGGCGAAGCGCATTCTAGGGATGGAGATCGGCAGAGACAAGAAGAAGGGCAAGATTTGTTTGACACAGGTGGCTTATTTGAAGAAGGTTCTACAGCGATTCCATGTTAGCATGGATACGAAGCCAGTTGGTGTACCTTTGGGAGCCCATTTGAAGCTTTCAGCTGGTCTTTCACCGAAGTCAGTTGAAGATCGTGAGTTGATGTCGAAGACTCCATATGCGAGCGCGGTTGGGAGCTTGATGTACGCAATGGTATGTACGAGACCAGATTTGTCACAGGCGGTGAGCATGGTATCGAGATACATGCACGATCCAGGAGTGGGTCATTGGGACGCCGTGAAATGGATTTTGAGGTACATTCGAGGTACGCTCAATGTTGGTTTGGTTTATGAGCGGGACACTAAAGGTGGGCAGCTATGCATTGGCTATGTGGATTCGGATTATGCCGGGGATTTGGATAAGCGCCGGTCTACTACGGGGTATGTGTTTACTTTGACCCGTGCACCGGTGTGTTGGAGAAGCACCTTACAGTCGACGGTGGCTTTGTCTACGACGGAGGCAGAGTATATGGCAGTTACGGAGGCTGTGAAGGAGACTATTTGGCTTCGAGGACTTTTAGAGGAACTTGGTATATCGCAGAGGTCCATCACTATTCATTGTGATAGCATGAGTACTATCTATTTGGCGAAGAATCAGGTTTTTCATGCGAGAACGAAGCATATTGACGTTCGTTATCACTTCGTTCGGGATGTTCTTGAAGATGGTGATGTGGAGATTGTTAAAGTCCACACGAAGGATAATCCGGTAGATATGCTCACAAAGGTGGTTCCGAGCAATAAGTTTGATCATTGTCGAAACTTGTTGCACATTCGTGATTATTAAGGTCGTTGGCGGCCATTTGGGTGAACTACGTTCAGCTTGATTCCTTGGGCAAGAAAATATGTAGGCAGTCATGTTAGATTCAGCCGGTTTGGATTAGTTGATGGGGGTGAGATTGTTTGGACTCTCGTTCGGGTTCCCGACTTGTTGTCGAATGAGTGGGACATTTGGTTGCTTTGGAGTCGGCTCAGTTTTGGAAGAAACTTCACCGAGGTGGAGAATTGTGAACGATTAGAGGGAAACACGTCTTCACATGGGGAGAAGTTTGTTCGCGTGGCCTCGGGCCCACCCGAAACAAAGATGGAGATGTGAAGCAGTTTTTTTTATTCCCTGGACCCGACTTCCGCAACGCAGCTTATAAATAGCAAAGTTTAATTGCTAGGTTTTGTGTGCAAGTCAGGAGGTTGATTTGTTTTCTTTTGTGGCTGCGGCAGGAAATTGCAGCAAGGCAAAGGAACTTGGTTTTTGTGCGGCTGCGGAACAGAAGCAAGAGCACGGAACAGAAGCAAGAGCACTGAGTTTTGTGGCGGCTGTAGGAGTGCAAAGATAGAGGAAAAGTTGGGTTTTTGCATCCTTTTGTAGAGAGATATTGTGAGGGGTCTGAGAGTTTGTTTGAGGGTTTAGGTTGTGAGTGGTTGTAAACCCTAGTTGTATTCTCTCCCTCTAATAATAAATCTCCCCCCTCCTTGCCCCGTGGATGTAGGCAATTTGCCGAACCACGTAAAATTGGTTGTACTGCTATTTGTGTGATTTGTAATAGCTTTTAGGATCCCTCGACAGGTCAGTCCTAGAACTGATGAGAGGAAGAGCCAATATCTCACTTTGTTGAGATATTCACTTTAGATTCTTGTTTCCTTGGTGAGACGAGAATTCTTATTGCGATCTGACTCTCTTGTTGTGCTGCCGAAGATCTGCCGAAATTTTCGCTGCGCAACATAAACACCTTTCAACCAATATCTTAATATTCAACCATTATCTTCATAGTTATAGATACACTTTTAGAAAAGAAAATGCTCTCAAGAAGTTTTTGCCCTGAGCGTAGATGGACTCTTAAAAGTACAGTTGTAGCTGCAATCGAAAGCTTACTTTTTACTTTTGTTCCTCAGGAGGAAAATAAAGACATTCGTCCTACTTTTGTTCCTCAGGAAGGAGGGATAAGAATTCAAAGAATATTTTTCTTCGGTTGTGTTTATTTCTCCCATCACTTCCTTCCTCTATACAAAGCACATTTTCGTGTCCTCAGACCATCCAAACATTCAGAAAGCTAGAATGCAACTACGCCGAAAACAAACTTCCTCAATCAAGATGACACGCAAATTAAACCTCAAGAAATCAAAACACAAGAATGTACAAACATTAAAAAAGATTGAACATCATTATGTACAACCCAACAAGTTAGTTCTCTTTTTCCCTCCTCAAACTCATACAATAACTCGAACTTCAAACTCCCCAAAGTTTCAATACAAACATTGCTCAGTACTTATTCCCCATCAGAAATCAAACCCATCATCGAACCCACCATCATATCCACCATCATATCCACCATCATAACCAGAAGCATCTGAAACCATGTCACCAATAAGCATCCCACCAAGGGCCCCACCAAGAAGCCCTAGACCTAGACCGGCCCCACCACCGAGCTTGTTCTTCCTCCCCTGCTGAGGTTGCACAACTGGTGGCGAGCTCCGTACCGCGTACCGCTCTGTTGAGGCGGTGGGTACCCATACCCGTATCCGCTTTGAGGCGGTAGCCTCCAGGCGCGGGTACCCATACCCGGCTTGAGGGGGTGGCGGGTATACCATAACCGGGGTTGAGAATGGGGCGGATACGATACGAGTTGGGAGGTGGCGGTAGGCTGTGACGGGCTCGAGACCTTCGAGCTGGTGCGGGATAGGCAGTGACAGCTCTGAGATCTTTCGAGCTGGTGCAGGTCGCGGGTTTTTTTGATACGGGTGGCGGGTATGCGGGCCCGGTTGGCGGCGGGTAGCGGACCCGGATTGTGGCGGGTAGGCTGAGGCAAGTGGGTTGTGGGTAGGCGGGTATGGAAGAACCAGCATAGGCATTAGGGGGGCTGAGAGGCGATGGCGACAAGGGTCGCCGAATTTGTAGGAGAGGTTGAGGACGCCCTTGGCCTCTCCTGAGCTCCGGCGAACCACTGAGAGATTCAAAAGAATCAACAATTTTAGGAAATCCGTATGAGGAGCTAAAAAATTAAATTATCATGTAAAATTCCAAAGATCATGAAAATTTTAAAGAGGTTTTTTTTTTTTTTTTTTTTTTTGGGGGGGTGGGGGGGGGTGGGGGTGGTAATTCGAAATTTTTAAAGATTTTTTTCTTGATAATTAGATGTTTCTACCATAAGAAATTGCCATGTTATAAAAAAACCGATTAATAACAAGGAATAAATCTCTGAATCTATCCCAGCACAAAATAAAAAAAAATAAAAAAAATCTAAAGTTGACTTTTTTCTAAAGATAATCATCCATCCTAGGAGAAAGATCTTGAAAAATCCCCAAATTTTTGTAAAAAAAATATCAATCCTAGATCGCAATAACAAAAAAAAATATTAATTGCACATCTAATAACAGAGATCTAGCATAAATTCAAACATAAAATAATAATAAAAACCAAAGAAACTATAAAATTTTATCTAGCATAAATTCAAACAAAAAATATAAAAAAATCAAAGAAACTACAATATTAAGGATCACGGATCGTAAATTCTTTCTTAATCACATATTAAGACTCGACAAATCTAATATGAGAAAAAAACCCTAAAATCAAATACCTGATAGCTCACAAATTGAGCAGGCACCGCCTTCTTCTCATCACCGCCGCCAGAACTCGCCGCCGCCGTCTTCCATCCATCGAGAAGCTCACGAATCGGGATATGAACCTCTCCGATCTCTCGATCCCCCATCGCCCTCTCCGATTTGATCACAACGTGCAGCACAGTTCGATCCACATCAGACTCCATCACGCTGAACGTAAACTTCGCGTTCCACGCCGGATTCTTGCCGCCCTCCTTGTCGACTGTCGTCTTCTTCTTCGTTCTCGCGTCGCCGGCGATCATCGCCACCGCGTAGACCTCCATTTTAGAGAAGAGGTTTACGTTGGCGAGGTCTTTGGCGGAGATTAGGGTCAGCTCTAGGGTTCGGTAGGCCATGGGGTTGAATTTGAGAAATTGGGGCTAGGGTTTCGTGAGATCAGAGAAAAAAAGATCGGATTTTTGTACGAATTTGGGGTAAATTTGATTTGGGGTCGGGTTTTATATTGGGCCGTGGAGATTTTCAACGCGGTTAAGGAACGGGAGGAGGAAGGTTCGTGGAAATTACATTTTTAGCCTCAACTTCTGCTTGAGGCGGTTGGGGTTTGTTCGGGGATCGTTGAGATCATGAGGGTTAGAATCGGCACGTGGTCGTTACATCGCGTTGTAATCGACTAATCGGTCAGCAGGCTCGTTTTCTTCGGCGCGTAAAGATGTTACAACATTTTAATTTTAGCTTATAATTTTCTGTAAATGCATCTTAGGGAAATATGTTGCTAAGGAGGTATTTTAGATTTAATTTAAGGACACACATCTTTGATGTATAGATAGATTAGATTATTTCTGTGGGTGATTCTCTTTGTTCATCATGATCAAAATGTTTCAACATTTGTAAAATAAAAATCATTATGTGTAATCACATTTGTAACTTATAACAAATTACATGCGACTACAAGTTGTTACATACACGTTATGTTCAAAAAAATTAGGTATGTCACGCTCCTTTGGAATCTCACATCAA